TATTTTAAGATTTTTTTCTTCTCTCTGCTGCCTTTCATTTCATTTGTTATTTATATATACACATGTGTGTGTGTGTGTGTGTGTGTGTGTGTGTGTGTGTTTATATGGGGAGAAAAGTGGGGAGATCAAGTATTTGATACACTGTTGATTTTTCAGGTTTTCCCACTTGCAAAGCTTGTAGATGACTAATTTTTATCATAGGTGTGTGTGTGTGTGTGTGTGTGTGTGTGTGTGTGTGTTTACCTGAGCAGTGAGGCAGTGGACCACTCCAGTGACCATTCAGTTGACAGGTGAGTGATGGGTCTCCAATAAGCTGACGGTCTCCAGTACAGGAGTAACGCACTGTGGAGCCAAACGTAAACTTGTCTCCAGTCATTACAGCGTGGGGCGGGGTTCCTGGGTGGCCGCAGTCCACCTCTGCGTCAAAGAGCAAAGAGAAGTATTCTCATGAATGAAAAAAAAAGTTTCTATAAGCTTCAACAGAATAGACTACAATGCCATGTTGATGGTTTCAGTTGTTTCAATTAGAAAAAGAAATCACTCAATTAAAAAAAAACAACTAAAACCAAGTAGCAACAGATTTAATGAACTTCAGATTTCTCTTCTAGTCCCTCCAATTTTACGTCTTTTTATTAAAGTACATACTATGCAATCTAGATTTAATGAAGTTCTGTCAAATTGCTCATGTCCAATAAACTGCTGTGAACTTTAAATTAGATCAAGAGATGCTTAAATTGAAAGAGCAATTTGAGTACATTTCCATTTGAGACAATTTGATTTGTAGAACAAACTATGGAGTTCTTTGAAAATTAAAGCTTTTTGTTCCTCAGGCTGTTCATATTACATTGTCAAGTTTGAGCAGGTTTTCATTATTATTAAAATAATTTAGTGGGAGAAAAATTATTTTATTATTATGATGAAAGATTTAAGTTAAATTTTTTTGTATTTCAAATATGCTGGGTGCTGGTTTTGGTGCCGTATCAATGTCTGACATTTGGTTAAATGTTGCCATTTGCTAAAGTTTGCAAACATTAAAAAACATTATTAACTAACTTTAATAGTGTCTCTCAATGCAGTTTATTAGGCTCATCTGAAACTTTTTCTAAAGGAACATTAAACCAGTAATCACTAACCTGAATGTGTATCCTGTTTTTCTTTGCCTTCTTTTAATGTAATTAATTTATGTGCACTTTTTAGGATTTTACTAATGCATGTGTGCCTGTGATTTGATTTGATTTATTGATTTAACAGGAAAAGATTACTAAAAAAATCAAGCCTGACTCAGCATAATTGCTGTTTTACAGCAGGTTTTTGTTCTGCAGCACATAAAACACTCAGAAATACAGCATCACAATCACATCATTATACACCATAGACACAAAGACAAACAAGCATACCAAATTTCAGGAAGGCAGCATTTGCAAAATAGGACGTCTAAATATGAGCACAACAAAAAGTGTCCAGCAGATGGCAGACAAGATTCTTCTTGAAGGGCTGTAGTTTTGAAATGGACTTTACTGTATGTTTTGAGGAATGTCATTCCATGCTTTAGTATAAACATAGAAAAAAGACCTCTGGCCGTAACAGTTTTTAAAAGTTGGTAATATCAGTTGTCCTTTTGTAACAGATCTAGTTGAATGACCACTTCCAGAATTTGATTTGGGCAACAATGCACAGAGAGTTCCATAATTGGCACCTTGGAAGATATGAAAATATAAATTAATACCACTATACAAAACATAATTCTGAAAAGTCAAGGCATCAGACAATGAAAGAACTGTACAGTGATGAGTCCAACCAGGAAGTTTTTTATGAATTTTGTAGGCCCTGATGTAGAGCCTAACTATGGGTTCTAAGATTTCATTTGTTGTAAGAGACCAAACAGGTAAACAGTACGACATGGTTGAGAGTATAATGACATGAAGATAGATATTTGAAACAGAAGATGTCCGATTGGATCTGATTTTTGAATAAACGTACAATTTCTGTTTCAACTTAGTGGTTTAGACTTGTACATGATCACGATAAGTCAAATGAGAATCCAAAGTAATTCRAAGATATTTGTAGGTAGTGACAATATCAAGGGGTTTGTTTAAAAAAGTGAGTTGATTTGTTATGTTGAAATGTCTCCTGGATGAGGAAAAATACATGCACACAGTTTTTTTAACATTAATTGACAAAAGATTATCTTGAAGCAAACCATGAAATGTCTGAAGATCTGCTTGTAACTGACTATTAATAGATTCAATATTGAAATCAGACAAAAAAAGAACAGTATCATCAGCATACATTAAAATATTTGAATACTTCAATATTTTTGGAAGGTCATTTATGTATTATAGGAAAAGCAATGGGCCCAGTATGCTACCCTGCGGAACTCCCATGGAACAGGGCAGAGACCCGGACACAGAGCTTCCATGTTTCACAACATGACACCTATCAGTCAAATAAGAGGAAAACATTTGTATTGCAGATGATGTAAGTTGAAAAGAAATCAACTTTTGTAAGAGAGTATAATGATCAACTTTGTCAAACGGTGAATGAAAATCAGTATATACAGCACCAGTTACTTGACCTTTGTTCAAAGCAGCACATATTTGTTCAGTGAATAAAATTAATGCAGACATGGTTGACGTTGACGTGCGAAAACCATGTTGGCTATTGCTTAGCATATTATTAGCTTCTAGATGCTGAAGTAGTTGATTAAATAATGTTTTTTCAAGTAACTTAGAAAAAATATGAAGAACAGAAATTGGCCGATAGTTTGAAACTTCTGTTGGATCACCAGATTTAAAAATGGGAGTAATCTGAGCAAATTTCCAGGCATCAGGGAAAATAGACTGCACAATACATAAATTAAGCTAATGATGAAACAATGGAAAAAAAGTGTTGGCATGCATTTTCAAGAAATCCATATTTATCTTATATTTGTCAAATGCACGTGAGCCATTTAGAGATTGGAGTGTATTCAAAACATCACTCTGTGAAATTTTATTTGTTTATGAATTTTACTTAAACTTATTTCTTTTTATGTGTTTCAGCATCAACCTGCCCAGCACAACAAATTAAAACTAGCCCCCATGGCTCAATCTGGTACATTTACAAGATAAACCCTTGTTCATAATGTGCACTGGCCCTTTTCAATAAAAAAAGTACCTGGACATGTAAAAATTTAACCAGGCAGATTCAGGACATGAAACATTTTGAGAAAAACAGATATGTTGATAAAGTTGATTTCCTTGTTGATTGATTTATTTGGTTATTCTGGGCTAACCACCGAGCACTTTCAGTTTTGAGGCTCACTAGGAGTTTTATCTGTTTCCCCTAAAGCTGTGGTCATAAAGTGAGTTGAAATGATTCTCCAGTGTGCTCTTTGTTCTGTTGAGTTTTTATTTATAATTTTAACATTTTTTTATCTTCTAGTCTTTCTGTAGCAATAAAATTTAGTTTAAATAACTCACAATTTAAAAAAAATCTAACAAAGTCTGCTTACTTTTGGATCCTTCCAATTCAGGTAAAATGAGCTGCGTGTTTAGACAGCCGCATGTCTCTCGTATCAGTTTTTTGGATGAAACATTAAAGCGGAGACACGTCGCTTTATTGTACTATCATTTGTCTTTATCAAAGTGAATACACTGAAGAACAGAAGGTAAAAAAATAAATAAATAAAACACAAATATTGCCTGAGTACAAATCACAGTGTGAGGTGTGAGATTTAAAGTGCACTCATTTGAAATGGCTCTGTAATGATTTTCAGGCAGGAATGAACCCAGGGCGCAGGCAGCTTCAAAATGGCAAAAATAAGAACTTTTTTAAACAAAAAGTGCTGATGGGGCAGCTCAAAAAACTCACAAGACTTGGACGTGGCAAAACACAGGACAAGAAAATCTTCAGGTAGGAACATACAGCACAATACAAAACAATGATCCGACAGGGAAGTGAAGACAAAACACAGAATTTAAAGGTGAGACAAATGCGCGCCAACAGGAAACACCTGGGGGAGAAACATGAGGATCAGCTGTGAGTGGGCGGGGCTGGAGCAAAGCAGACAGGAGGAAGAAGACAGATGACAAGACAGAAAACTAGAACCAAACATCGACACAGACCAGTCGTAACAGTCTCCAATCATTCCAGGGCCTAAAATTGTATAAAAGATATTCTTTGCATTTTGCTACAAGTTGGGACGCCTAGGATTGTTTTTGTTTCCCTGCGGAATAATTCCCAGGACAACTTGGGACCAGGAAGCTACAGGTTCGATTTCCCGCCATGCCCACATGCCGTGATGTCCTTGAGCAAGACACCTAATACCCGTTGTTGGGGATGTGATGGGTCAAACGCAGAGCACAAATCCCATCAGTGTATGATGTCAATGCAAAGTACATTTGGCAGCACAACAGATCAGCAGTTAGCACTGCTGCCTCACAGCGAGAGGGTCCTTTGTTCAATGCTCGGTTTGGGCCGGGGGTCTTTGTGTGGATTTTGAACACTCTCCTCATGTTTTTAAGTTTTTTTTCAGGTAGTTTTTTCTCGCATAGGTTGCCTTCAGGCCCAGGCCTCCCTTGCAAAAATAGATCTGTGATATCAAAAACTGTCCATCTTACTGAGTTTTAAAATCTTATATCCAGCCAAAAAGTCTTTTTGATCTTGTTTTGAGACTGATTTACTAAACAAGAACTGATTGTGTAAGAATAATCATTTTGTTTTCAGAATGTGTAAGGTTATTTGTCTTGTTAGCCTGAAAATTTGACTCAAATTAAGTGAAAATTTTCTGCCAATGGAGTAAGAAAATTTTACTTGGTAAGATTCTTGAAATAAAAAAAAAAGTCAAATCAAGTTTTCCAAGAATCTTACCAAGTAAAATTTTCTTACTCCATTGGCAGAAATTTTTGACTTGAGTCACATTTTCAGACTAACAAGACAAATAATCTTACACATTCTGAAAACAAGATTATTATTCTTTTGATACATCTCAGCTTCCACTGTTTCAGTCTGATTGATTTGATATATATACAGTATTTTTTAATTCACCATGTGCAGTTTTTGTATGTCATCAAACAATACCCAAGTTTTTGAACATAAATATAACTATAATGGATGAGAATTACATTTGGCATTGCTAATGATTAGCATTCTATTAAGGTGCTAACATTCAGTTAAAAACAAGCAGACATTTTGTACAAAAAGTTGCAACATTGTCCCATTAAAAAGTTTTAAATTAGTTAAAACACCACACAGTGTTCTTATTTGCATTTTACAAAATGACAACCATTTTCTAAAACTTCTGTTTCATTTGACCAGTATATGTTTGTTTGCAGTTTTTCTCAATTTAGTTTAATACCGCAAGATTTTTAACTTTTTTTTTGTTTGAAAATACTAACCACAACCAAGCTGTCGCTGATGCCTGAAGCAGTTTATAAACATGTGAGACAGACACTCTTGTGTATCTCTTTAATTATTATCTCATTTGATAAAATAAATGATGCGCATCATTTCTCTACCATGAAATGAAGTGCGTTTTGAGCCTGCATACAGAATGGAGAGGTTTGCTTTAGATAATTTCACCAGAAATAGGTCATTACTGTTGGCAGGCTCATACATAACCAGAATGCACAATGAAGCAGGTGTTTGGGTGCAACATTAGAAACCCTGCAGTTCACACATGGCAGTTGTTATAATCTAAGTGCTTAGCGTTGAAGGGACATTAGCTAGATCCTGAACAACTCATGCAGATGCAGCTAAAACATGGCCGCGAGCCTCTGGGGGATCCCTTATTGCGTGGATAGTCATAATATTTTTAAATTTAAACCATGAAAACTGGAAACGCATAAAACAAGTTCAAGACAATAAACTGTGAAAAATGTTTTTTTTCTCTGCGTGTGCATCTCTTAGCTAATGAGCCAGTGTACCAGATTTTTTAATCAGAAACATAACAAAACTCATTTCCAAGTGTATTACCTGGGCAAGAATAGAAACTTTTACTATACCTATGCACTCTGGAAGAGGTTTGTCCCAGTGGCCCATTGGCTGGCAGCTGAGTACCGATGATCCAAACAGGTAATATCCAGGGTTACAATCGTAGAACACCACACTGCCGAATGTAAAGTTCCCATGTTCAATCTTACTCTCCCGGATAGAGTTGGCAGGAATACCCGGATCTGTGCAGTTAACCACTAGATGGAAGGGGAAAAACATACAGTATTATTAATCACTCATTTAGAATAAAAGAAATGCATACAAATACTGCTAGCAGTAGTTTTTTTTTTTTTTTTTGCTAAAACCTGTTTTGGCAAATTGCAACGTTATGATTAAAAATAAATGGTCCTTGCCCTTTTCTCGGTACTCTCCTTGCCCCAAGTGAGTCTACTTATAAACTCCATGATGCACATGTTCCTACATTATTATAAGTGTGTTGTTATATTATATTAACGAAAAGCAGAACATGTTCCTGGTTACTTTTTCACAAACGTATTCATTGCAGTTTTCTGGAACGGTGGCGATGAAATATTCCAATCCAGTGCAGGACAGTGAGAGCACGAGTCAAAGGAAATTCATTCGTTACATTTCCAAGCTTGTAAAAATGTGTCCCTCCTGTATTTGAGACAACTACTGTGTAAAATAAGTATTTTATGTCAATGTACTGTGGGGGAAAAGGCAAAGCTACTTTTAGGTTGACTAGAAAATATTTTTATGCTAACCTACTGGGACTCATGCCTTTCAGTAGACAAAACTTGGTTGGGGGTGTGTGATGCAAAATACTTTCTTGAGCTTAATATAGTGTTATAACATGTTATAATGCCATTCCCTCATCAAAAACATACCCAGAGGGTGGATTTGACTCATTCATGCATGTTTGAGAAATCCTTGAAACTCCTGTGTAGCCACGTGGAGCTGCCTAAATGCTTGCTGTACAAAGCCACGCCTATTTGCACCTAGCTCTACTCTACTTCTCACTCCAGCCCTTTCAGATTAAAAAATGCCTTTGTTGAGGAAATTTATTTTTGGATGCCAAGGACGAGGCTACATGGTTGTCAAAAATGGTTGGATATTTCTCCTACGAATTGTTATAAACAGCATGAAGCATTGTTGTGGTGACGTGCTGAAGTGGGAGTGCCAGAAATGGTAGGTGGCTCTTAAAGAGAGGCCAATTTCCAAGTGTTTAGACTACGATGGGAAGTCAAATTTATTTTTAAAATATACACCGCTTTCATAAAAACTGAAAAGAAGTTATTTGATTGTGGTATAGAATTGAACCACTGTATGTGCCTGGAAAATACATATAGTAATATCCTTTATTTAAACAAATTCAACACTTTTTTTATATTGCATAAAGAACTCCTTTTATGAGTTTGGTCATATTTAAATTTGTTAATTGTAACTATGTGGTAAATTCTAAAGTAAAGACGCAAAAGTATATTTTTTAGGTTTTAAATGTAACAAAATAAAAGTTACAGTTTGAAAAAAAAATACTTGTTAAAAAGACAGAATCTCAAAAACACTTAGATACTGTAACAAAGTAATTGTACTTTGTTTCATCTGGATCTCTTCATGCATTACACCTGCTCTGTTTTGTTACTGTATGTTTTTAAGCATAGAGTAAAATAATAAGCAAAACCCCCACACATAATATTTACGTGGCAATCTGCCCAACTGGCTCCATGTGATCACATCACAGGGGATGATTCCTGGAAACTGTTCACTCTCCTTGCTTGGAGCCTAATTTGCATAAATGTTATCTGTCAGCATGTTCGCTTGTGAGATAATAATAGAACTGTTGTCATGACCTAAACAGTGGCTTTTTTCTTTTGTATTCTACAAACAAGAAAAAAAAGTAACCATGAGCTATATTAAGCACTGTCAATAATAGAAGCACTTCAAGCTGCCTTCTGAAAACCAAACGAGCGCCTATTGTCAAAAAAAGCATCATTTTAAAAGCAGCTGAAGTCTCTAAAAGCACATCGCTGACAAGGTGTGTCAGATGAAATCAGATGAGGGTGAAATTAGGTTCAAAGTGATATCGAATTAAATCAATACGCCAGATGCATGGCAAATCTTAGCTTAATGTGGGAAAATGTTAGAGGGAACAGGCATGTTTTGACAAAGCGAGTCATGACAGATTCATGTGATCGTGCTCCTTTGATCTTTCACCGGCTCTGTCTCTGTAATAAAAATCGGTAGCTGAAATAAAAACAGTAGCTCCTAATACATACTATATTTAAATGCCAACAAAATTCATGTCAGACATATTTTTAAATGCAAACTGCCTGGCAAATCAAGCTCTGCTTTACATGATCCAGAGGCAGCAAATTACAGGCACAATGACGGCTATTTAAATCCATTTTCTAAATGTTATGTATTAATAACTGACTTTATAATTTAATTTATGCTTTTTAATATGTTTTCAACCAGTTTATGCTGTAAAACATATGCTTATTAATACAGTAGAATCTATTTCTAAAATACTTTGATCCGATATGAATAAACAGAAATGTGACATTGTAATTGCAGCATTACTGAGCATAATCAGCACAAACTACAAGCACAGCAACAAAAGAAGAGGAAAAAAAAAGATCACACATAATTACTGCAGTATGTTCCACTGAACACGTCCTCACTCCTTACATTGTACCATAAATTTGTTATTGCTTTTCTGTAGCTCTGAGGTTATGGCTCCATATGTTGTTGCATGCTTTATCCAGATAAATCAAAGCAGGTAAAAAACATTATCATTAAAAGTGTTGGAACCCCATATGTTTATTTATTTATTTATTTATTTATTTATTTATTTATTTATTTATTTATTTATTTATTCATTTATTTATTTAATTAATTAATTATTCGTAATTATACATACATAGTTTTTTCCTTGTGTGCTTATGCTTCAGCAAGCTGGCAGTTGCTGACGGCTGATTCCTGAGCGACTCTGACACATCTGCTGGATGTTGGATTCTTGTAGTCGTCCTAGCTTCAGATAACTGGAAAGGCTTTCTTATTCTGTTCCAGCACTTTGGCTGGATCCTATTTTTGCTATCTGGCAGCTACCGGCTCTCCTTTTGGCAAGCCTTTTTCACAAGAAGAAGAATGAGATAAAAGTGTTCTTTGTAATGGGGGTAAAAAAAATAAAAAAATAAAAGTCACTGTGACACTATGCCTTTTTTAGAAATAGAATCTTGAATGATCAATGAAATGCTTGTAAATTTAAAGCATCTCATGCATCAAAGGTTTTGCAAAGATATTTTTGTTTTGATTCCTGTTTGTTTTTGACTCTGTGATCCCAGCAGTACATATGGTGGAGGCAAGTGAGGTCAACTATCAAGGTGCATCTGTGTTTCTTTGCTGCCTAAAGGCTGTCAGAGTGGCAGCTATTTATACATTCTGCAGGTGCTCTCTGTGGCAGGAACCGTACCTCTGCATGTCGGAGGCTGCTGGCTCCACTGGCGGTTGGCCTGGCACTGAGCTGTAGAGGGCCCCTCCAGGGTGTAGCCTTTGTTGCAGGAGAAGCGCACAACGTCATTGTAGTTGAAGCCATCGCCGGTGGTGCGGCCGTAGATGGGGCTGCCAGGGTGGCCACACGTGACAGCTGAGGCGACACACATCAAGCAGGTACATGACGGGAGGAGGGAGGCGGAAAGGTCAGGACGCGAGAAGCAGCAGAGGAGGGACGCAGAGGCGAGGTGAAGGAGAGAGGCAGAGAAACATACAGAGAAAAAACCCCAATAACAATGATTGAGGTGACACAAAGTGCCAACTGTCACAGTCATTAACATATAATTAAACCCTGAAGGTAATGAGAGAGGGAGAATTTAGGACATGATCATGATCAGTAAAGGCTAGATTGCACATTTCAGCTCATTAATAGGCGGAGGCGAACAGGAGGTTGAGGAATACTAAGAGTTAGGATTCATTTAGTGATTGTAGAGCTGGTGAATTAGAAGACAAATATTTTTTTTTATTGTCACAGAAGAAACAGAACCCAAAACTTGTTCCCTCAAAACAGAAAAAAAGGAATCAAAATAAAAATAAATCTTCTTTGATCGGTTAACCAATCATTAGCACAACTAGTGGTGTCCCAATACTAATACTGGTATTATGGTTGTGTCACTATCAGGCCCATTTTTTACGCATTTGTACTAATTGCCTCGATACTCAGAACCAATACCAGTATTGATACTGGAATAATAGTATCAATACTCCAATAAATATGTTACAGTTTGCATTTCAAGTAAAATGTTTGTCAATTCCATGTTTAAGTATGTATATATATTTTATGTATATACATTGAAAGAAAATCATATTTTTAAATTTATTCAAAAATTTTGAATTAGTATATATCATGGTGTTTATTTGATTTGATACAGTGAGAGGAGCTGTGGGCCTATAAGGAATTAAAGCCACTTTTTTTCCAAATAAAATAAAAAGTGTTATTAAAGTAATTGTGCAACATTTATGTTCTAATTACTATGTACTCTGTATCAATACTCTATATTGGTGAGTACCCAAACTGAAGTAATTGTACGTTTGAGGAAAAACTGGTATCAGGATACTCCTAAGCACAATCCATAAGGGTTGAAAAATCTTTGTTCAGGTGGCAAGTAAACATGTAGGAAATGGCCATGCCTCCCCAGAAAGTGATGAGAATGTCCACATTAACAAATTGAAATGTTTTGGTTTTTTTCCAATACACTATTTACTGTTTCCTCTCAGATAGTTACCATCTCAGCACAAAATTATTAGGATCAGGATAAAACAAGATAGTCAAAGGACAAGACTCTTGTAAAAACTGCTCCATCGTTGTTGTGGATTTTAGGGCACAGTGAGAATGGGTGAAACATTGTTCAACATTATTTGTACAATTTTTTGCTATATCAAATCTAAAGGGCACACTAAAAAAACAAGTTTTTAAAAATATTGCCTTTGTAAAGTGCTTTTAATATGCATTTGACTCACCAAAATCACTGTTTGCACAAAGAAAAGAGGTGCAAACACTGTAGAACATGTTTGTTTTTTGCATGTTTGGAGTAGACGGGCTATAGAGAGACTTTCTTTGTGTTTTTCATATGGCATTTGTAGCAAAGCTTTAGAGAGGACATTAAATTACTCACAGATACAAACTGGTAGGTGCCCAGACCAGGTGTGGTCCTGCTGACAGATCCGTACAGAGGAGCCAATTAGTCTGAACCCAGGATTGCATTGGTAGACCACCGTGTCCCTGTAGCCAAAGTTTTCCCCGATCACTTGCCCATTCACAATTAGCTCTGGGACGCCGCAGTGACCAGCTGTAAATTTGGTAAGAATAAACACGATGAACAAATTTCAGCATTTTTTTTCCTTTTGAAACCTCTTCATACAGGAACACTTTCTTTGAAAAAGACGGAACATTATATAATTTACAGTGTGTGTCATTTAAAATACACAACATGAAAACAAAAGCCAAGAGTGTGTTCCACTTTGTGCATGAGATACAATACACTTGACAATACCAAACCCAGTCTCAGTAAATCATTCATGCAGTGCAATGTTCAACTTTCCATCAGTGAGAATAATGGTCTCCAGTCGTTCCCATAAAACTAATGGATAATAGCTGAAGGGTACAAACACAATTTTGATGGCGCTGTCATGTTTAAATACAATTTCAATAATGAAATAAGGACGCATGTTTTTTAAAAGGCCTAGAATATAATAGGCAAGTAAAAATTAGTTTATTCATGAAATATATTGGGTTTGGAAAGCATGTTTCACGTGTGATTCTTTTTTAAATTTATGCCGACTTTAGTCTCACTCTGATAAAATATATTTTTGTAACTCACCACAGACATATGTGAAACTCCCAAAAACTGTGCAATAAGCTCATGCACATCACGTTACTTTCAGCTACAATAAATGCCACTCACAGAAAAGGGATCTTGTTGAGATTTCCAATGCCACTTAAAACCTGGGAAATTGCCCGACTGAGAGTCTGATTTCCCTAATTCACTCCTGCACCCAGAAACTCAGTCGAGCATTTTATTTTCACACTCCAGTTGAGGGCTGACAGATTCTATGAAGATAGTGCTGAAGTAGGTGTACATACCAAAAGATTCCTGGCTATGGTGACTGACTCAGTCATGTTAGTAACAGTGCAAAGAGAGGCTCTCCTTTGATGAACTGATCAAACCTTGAGTTGAGTTTGAAGTGCTGCCACCATACAACTGTTATACGGACAAGTGGGACTAATAGAAAAACCTTCACATTCTGCTGCAAAGTGGTTTTAAATACAACTCTGCTCATCATACATCTCATTTTCTGCCTTTGTGGAAAGCTGTGTTGAGCTGCGGTAAGCTGAGCTCTTTATAAATCCAAACAAGGGCTAAAATTGAAGCTTGGATAGCATTCTATAGATAGATTCAACAAGTAGCTGTTTTAAAGCTGATTTATCTCATTTGCTATTTTACAGACACTAAAATACAACAGCAAACTAGTTGGATCTTTTTTTTTTGGATCCTATAAGTGAACATAAATATTAGGTAAAAAAGTAAAATATTTTATTTTGGAAAAAAAAATCAATAATTGCCTTCTTTCTGTTAGACATAATTCTTACGTTAAAAAACAAAACAAAACAAAACAAGACAATCAAGCGATCACAAGTTTTTGTGTGGTTTTTGTACAGAATGCCCTTTAGCCTGTGTTTTTGCCAAATCCCCAAATCTCCAAACAAAAAGGAAGTGTAGCTGTTTCAAATTAGATATTCAATTCTTAAAATATTTTATCTGACGTGCTGGAGGAGATGCAGCTACGTCTGATCAAGGACTTTAAGCAACACTAAAAAATAGGAACTGGTGAATATGTGGTTGCAGAAATAGTATCAGTGCTGTTATCTTGATTGTTAAGAGGGTGAAAAAACACTTCTATATTTCTTTATGTCAGTTCAGGAGTAGAATTGGAGAGTCCAGGAGAACTATAGCATCATGAAAACTTTAAAACACAGGAGATCATCTAAGGACACTGATGAGTCTCCTTGCAGTCTCCTTGAGTAATCTTGCAGTAAGAAACCCTTCATAAAGTATTTTCCAAAACCTGGTGAGGTTTTAAAAGAGCTATACAAGTATGGTTTAACAGCAGTGTTTTTAGCCTGTCTCATTGAGTTGTGTTGTCCCCACTTTGATTCTCAACACATACTTTTTGCATGATTATAAAAATCTTGATTTCAATTTACTGATTCAACATATCCTACATTTTGACTTGATTTGTTTTGCATTGGAAACCAATAAGCTTGCCTGTGTCATGTAGGAGAAGTGTTTTTTTATTTTATTTATTTATTTATTTTTTATCTGTGTGTGGGTGTACAGTTATGTTGGGATGGGCAAAGAAAGGTCAATTGTGATAAACTTTTGAAATCTTTCCAGTCTTCTACAGGTAGATGCCAAAGGTGTATACACATACACCAAACCAATGTTTCTGTATAATCTCTGCAGGATATGTAGCTTTTTGATGTGTATCTATGAACAAAAGTAATGTCTGAAGCAGACAACAGTAAATATTTATACAGTATATATA